CACAACACTGATCTTCTTAGGAAAGTCTGTGAATAGCGGCATCTCATCGTAGTTATTGTAAGCTTTAACATCGTCCACGCCATCAACTCCAATAATGTGTTGTTTCCCGGAGACAACCACGTGCTTTGTCTTCTTCTTCTTCGGGGGGAGGTTACTTTGTGAGTCAGACATATAGAAAACTTGTGCAACACGTGAAGCGAGCACCCAAGGGTCATCTTGGTAGCCTAGATTCTCGAGGTCCAGGACTCTCAATCCAATCTCGTTCAGTTGGTGTTGTTTGATCCAACGGCATCGAAACAGAGCCACCGTTATACCCCTTCCATAGTCAAGTTCCCATATCTCTTCAATGATGCCAAAGTATTGGATCTTTCGCCCTAATCCATCGAGAGCCTCTATTCGAACGCCGCTGTTTTGGTTCACATATTTACTATCATTTGCGTGGGTATAGTACATATACCCATTGATGTCATAAGTATTCCAAGATGTCACTTGTCTCGATGGCCCCTCCGCCAACCTACTGATGGTAATAGAGTCTATGGTTTCTCCAGACGGTATGTTTTGGTCCTTCAACCATGTAGTTAGTCGTTGCTTGTGTTGTTTCATGACCCAATCATCCGAACGACCATTTCTCTCCGCCATAATGATAGCCAAGTGTTCATCAATATATGGTTGCATCAGTTGTGTACTCTGCAAGACACTGTAATACGCCCGACTCACCTCTTTGTAATCATGGTCGATGAACACTTTTCTACCACTGGTGCCTTTCCCAGCCAGCCTATCCTTGTGACGAGAATCGGGTTTACCAATCCCTTTCTGTACTTTTAGGTACTCTTGACAGCACTCGACGACTTCTTCAGTACTGTAACCCTCTATCATGGAGCCCTCTAGGTATGCTCGATTATGCACGTATCAACTTAGAACCGACATGAACCGCTCGTAGGACCACATTTCATGCAAGTAGCAAGGGCCAAGCACCTGTATTTGATGAACCATATGAATCATGAGATGTGGCATTATATCAAAAAAGCAGGAGGTAAACACATCTCCAGCTTGGTTTTGTGTCTCCACCACAAATTCATGTAGGTCACTCACTCTTCCTTGCCAATCGCCTTCTCGTGAGATCTTCAAAAGAAGTAGCACATGCGGTGATGGCCATTTTCAAGAACTCGCTTTATAGCCCTAATTGCAATAGGTAGAAACATCACAAGATCATGGCAATCGTGAGCCTTGCAAAGGTGTTATTGACAAGTCCTTCATCGACACTAGCTTCTTCACATTTGTTGAAACCCGCTTGGGACTTTGATCCCCTCGTGAAAGTGCATATAGCTCTCTTCTCGTCCGGTGTTAGGTTGAAGCACGCCACAAGCGAGTGTATTTTCCATTAGCCTCGTGTACCGGGTGAAGCTGGGCATCACGCTTAGCTACACCATGTCTTTTCGTGCTTTCAGACCATCCTTTGACTTGCCCGTGTCCATCAAGGTAGCAATGAGACTCTCAAAGACATTCTTCTCGCATGTGCATAGCATCAATGGCATGGGGACCTCCAAGTCCGCCAATGAGGCATCATCGAAGAAGATCGATTGTTTCTTGAAAGGTACGCCTTGACAGTGAGGTGTGCTTCTATCTCTGCTCGTCCCCATCCGGATTCTTCTTTCCATAGACGACGTGTATGTTTTTCACCATTCTCAGATATGTGTTCTCCGTTATGACGCTCTCCTGAGGGGGTTCAATCTCCGGGCGTTGTCATAAAATCTAAAGAACAATTTGTCATGGTACTTGTGACTTGTCTTTAAGAAGTGTCGGTTCCTTAGGTAAACTATCTTCTTGGATGCATCTAGGTACACCCATGTAGTACCATTCAAGCAAACCAAGCATCCCGTCTTCCCTTTGATCTGTCCAGACAAAGCAAACAGCGTGGGGTAATCATTGGTAGTAACAAATATTATTGCTCTACATATGAAGTCCTCCTTTCGGAACGCATCGTACACCTGCTCCCCATGCCTCCATAGCCTCTCCATTTCTTGCATCAAGGGCTCGAGGAACACGTCTATATCAATGCCTGGTTGTTTAGGGCCAGAAATAAGAATAGTGAGGAGAAGGTACTTTCTCTTCTGACACAACCATGTTGGGATGTTGTACATGGTCAAGATCACTGGCCATGTGCTATGGTCGCTCATCCTCTTATTGAAGGGATTCATTCCATCGGTGCTCAAGCTAAACCGTACATTCCTTGGGTCATCGCTGAATTCTTTGTGCTTCTCATCAAACCTTTGCCACTGACTACAATCAGCCGGGTGTGCAATCTTATCATCATCCACCTTGCACTCATCATCCCACCATGTCATGAGTGCAGCTTCTTTAGGGTTTAGGAAGATACGCCTCAAGCTGTCGGTCACTGGCAGGTACCACATTACCAGGGTAGGAATTCTTCTCTGCTTTGCATCATTGCCTAATGGAGTATCCTCTGGGGGCTGAGATTCTTGTACCACCTTTTTTGTACCCTTCTTATTCCTCTTTTTCCCCATGGAGGGTTCGTCCCCACCGTAAAGGTCATTGTTCTTGTACCGGCTGGCCCCACACCGGGGACATTTATCCAGTGACTTGAACGTTTCGCCACGAAAAAGTATACAGTGGTTGGGGCATGCATGTATTTTTTCAACCCCCATTATCAATGGACTTATAACCTTCTTCGCTTGGTATGTGTTGGCGGGAACTGAGTTTGGTTGTGGCAGCAGCCATGACAGGAGATGCAATAGATCATTGAAACTACAGTCTGACCAGCCGTACTTAGCCTTCAGGATGAGCAGCTCAAGCACGAAACGTAGCAATGTCCAATGTGTCGAACAACCATTTTCAACACCATACACAGTCTCCTTCGATGCTTTTGCCACCCTTTCCAAATTTTCTAGATCTTTCGGGCTATTTAGTAAAATCTCTGGTCCAAGGGCTCGAATCATGTCCTCTAAATCATCTTCATCCCCGACACGTGCTCCACCATCATTATTGGCACCACCTTCGTCGTTACCATCCCAACCACCAGCATCACCACCTTGTTCATTACCAAATTCGAAATCCATTCGTGCATCAAGCTCTGCTGAATATTGGGATAGGGATTCTATGGTTTTGTCGTCGTATTCCTCCTCATCCTCATCGTTAACAATAACCGTTTCACCATGATGAATCCACACTGTATAGTCCTCAACAAATCCTCGCATAATTAAATGTGATATGATGATAGTCACATCTGTCCATGCCATACGGTTCTTGTAATCTTTATAGGGGCAAATAATTGTATCTTTATTCTCTTTCAATGTCGTTGCATGCTTCGTTGCGGCTTCAATAAATTTATCCACCTCTTCACGGAAAACCTGCCTTGAACCTTAACGAACCATACATCCAAGAGTTTCTGTACTCCAAGAGTTTCAGATATATATAAAAATGAATCAAAGTAATAATTACTTGAGAATAATTGTTTATACTTCAGATATATATGAATATAAATCTAATATAATTACATAAAGCATACAAACACACCATAGTAGAGGAAACTTAATTAATGGCCCATTTATCCATAAATAATTAAAATACATATTTATTGATTACAATAAACAATTTCAAAGACAATAATTAGCAACAATTATACTTTACCCAATATCTTTCATACAAACCCTAGTCCAATTTCATCAAACATAAATTTACAAAAACAAAATTAATAAAAAAATCAAACCCTAGATCTAGATCATCATGCACATGAAACATCCATAAAACTAAATAATTGTTCACTAAAATCAAGAAACATGGACCAAATAAGGGTATGATCATATTCTCCTCCTTAATTTACCCTAGTACATTTAAAATTTGGTCTAATTTGCTTCATAAGTAGCTTAAGCACCATAGAAGAGAGAGAAAAACAAAACTCTAATTACTCACTAACCAACCATTAAAACTTTAAAGAAGTGTGGAATAGCATTTTTTTACCTTCTACAACCTCTCCACCAAAGGATTTGAGACCAAAACCTTCCTCCCTTAGTAGAGCAATTTTTGGGAGGTGCCCAAGGCCTCCCCACCTTTCTTTCACGAGTTGGAGTGAGTGACCCGAGGAGGAAGAAGGTTCTGCAGCCTTTTTATATGTGGGTCATTTGTAGGGGCGGCTCAATCATCAGCCGCCCCTACAAATATAAACTACAGGGACGGCTGGTGATTGAGCCGCCCCTACAAATCAGACCCCATTTGTAGGGGCGGCTCGTATCACCAGCCGCCCCTGCTGTTCCATTTATAGAGGCGGCTGGTATCTGGGCACCCGAGTATGTCACTGTAGGGGCGGCTCCATCACCAGCCTCCCCTAAAAAAAAATCGAACCGTTGCTAAAAAAAATGTTTTTTACGTAGTGCCATCTGCCGTCCACCCACACCTTATATCATCATCTAAGGTACGATGTGCCGGCCGCTAGGTTTGCATTTTGATCTATCATCAAAATTTGTACGTCCCCTAAAAAACGTAAAAAAAATTCAAAATAAATTATCTGTTTATAGTAGCGCCCAGCTGAAGCTAGCAAGATCGACCATGCGTTGGAATACTGTCCAAAGGGCAACTAGCATATTCTCAACGGCTTATATTGGGCCTGCAAGCGTTGATAGAAATGTCCACCTTGGTCACTACGTCATCGATCCGATCGTTTGGGTCCTTGCGGAGAGGTGTCACCTCGGCATCGATGGCGTCGCCGGGAGAAACAAAGTGTCGTCAAGATCCAAAACTCCAACGTTGAACGCCGACTAGGCCAGACAACTGGGGTGCGATGCGAAGCGAAGACGCTAGGAAATCTGTAAGAAACTACAGGCGATTTCGTCGTGCAAGTGTTGCCAAACCATTACAGCTAGCTCATGGCGTCCGTACTTCGGAGAAACCAATCTCCCGAAATACAGTCTACTCTCTCTTTGTATATAAACACGAGATGATCTTTACATTCTGATGATCGAGCAACGAGCTCGGAGAGGACTAAGATGGCACCGAGGAATCAGATCTCGTATTGTATTCTCCTCGCGGCGATCCTACTCGCCCTACCGTTCACGAACGCCGCCCTGGACCAAGCCGCGCTGCTGAGGCAGCTCATCAAGTCTCGCGCACAGGGGCTGACGAGACCGACGACCCATGGGCTGACCCCGTGAGAAGCTTCGGTCACCTGCCCACACGTACTGCAGGTCGCCCAAGGGCAGCAGCAAGGAGGCCGACAGGATCAAGGCGCTGCCGGGGCAGCCGCCGCGCGTCAACTTCGAGCAGTACGCGGGGTACGTGACGGTGAACGAAGAGCACGGCCGCGCGCTCTTCTACTACTTCGTCGAGTCCCCCTACGAGGCGGTCTCTAAGCCCCTCGTCCTATGGCTCAACGGAGGTAAACTATACAGCTGTACTACTATTTTTGCTTCGCCGTATGCATGCATGTTCGTGTTTTGGCGTTCGGCAAGGTGCAATTTGATTACGTACTACGTGTTTGTTGCACGAGCGCAGGGCCTGGATGCTCGTCGCTGGGAGCCGGCGCGATGGCGGAGCTCGGCCCGTTCCGTGTCAACCCCGACGGCAAGACCCTGAGCAGGAACAAGCACGCCTGGAACAACGGTACGTAGCCACGTATGTAGTTGGTGACGGCTGTGTTGTTATTGCAAAAGAAAACGAGGTACCTGCGAGACAACGACGAGACCGGTGTCATCTTTCTGACGTTTTTTGCGTGAGAACATCATCATGCAGTGGCCAACGTCATCTTCCTTGAGTCGCCGGCCGGAGTCGGGTTCTCCTACTCCAACACGTCGTCGGACTACGACAAAAGTGGTGACAAGAGGACGGCAGTGGACTCGTACAACTTCATACTCCACTGGCTCGAGCGGTTCCCCGAGTACAAGGGCCGGGACTTCTACATCGCCGGTGAGAGCTACGCCGGCCACTACATCCCGGAGCTGGCCGCCGTCATCGTTGCCGTCCGCTTACTCACCGGAAAGAACCCGACAAACCTCAAGGGGATTTTCGTAAGTCGAGCGCCATTGCAGTTAACTTCACTTGCAAGCACGATTTCAGGCTGCATTGCTTTCTCCTATATCCTCAGGTTGGCAACCCGTTGCTTGATGATTACAAGAACGACAAGGGCTCTCTCGAGTTCTTGTGGAACCATGGGGTGATGTCCGACAAGATATGGACCAACATTACCGAGCACTGCAGCTTCGTTCCGTCCGATGGCATTTTGTGTAAGGAGGCGAAGTCACTGTTCAACTCCTGGAAGAACTTCGTTAATACCGCCGGCAACATCAACCCGTACAACATTTATGCTCCGATTTGCATCCAGACGCCCAACGGGACGAACTACTCCAGTAGCTATGTAAGTATAACAATAATAACATGGGTTATATATTCTAGCAAATTGTTTAATCCTTATTATAGTTCGAAGAAAAGTTCCTTAATAATCCCTTAAAAGCAGCCGAATTATCCAGCAGGCACTTCTGATTGATGAGTTATACCGATGTATAATTGTGACAGTTACCTGGCTACGATCCGTGCATAGACAACTACATCGAGGTCTACTTGAATAGACCTGAGGTGCAGAAGGCAATCCATGCTCGGGTCAACACCGATTGGTCAGCCTGCACGTAAGTAGTGGCAACTACCCTAACTTATTACTGTTTCCTTTTGCCAAACCCATTGGTTATTCTGGCCTGAGAGACCTTCTGTCACTATTGGTTCAGGAGATTGCCCTAGAACGACTGGCCGCTAAGCATGGTGCCAACGCTCTCGTGGCTTATCGACACCGGATTAAGAGTTTGGGTGTACAGGTAAGATGCCCATCCCCATCGATGTTCCGTACTTATGATGCCAACAATAATGCAAACTCAAAAGAAAAGGACAAATTAAAACTCAAGTGATTAATTTTTATTGTTAATAATCATAACGGATAACTCGTTGGCAGTGGCGATATGGATGACGTCTGCCCCATTACTGCAACAAGGTACTCCGTCAAAGACCTTAATTTGACCGTCACAAAGCCATGGCGCCCATGGTACACTCCTGCCAACGAGATAATGCACATGAATACAGCTCCGAAAGTGAAGATGCAATGCAATGGGATTTATTATATGTGACGAATTATGATGGTTTGCATCCACAGGTTGGAGGCTACATTCAGCAATACGAGGGAGGATTCACATTTGCCTCTGTGAGGGGAGTTGGTCACGCGGTACCAAGTTTCCAGCCTAAGAGATCAGAGGTTCTCTTCTACTCCTTCCTGAAAGGCGTGCTTCCACCTGCCGTTTCATTGTGGCGTCTGTGGGACCGAGGAACCACTCCAAGTCGATCTACAACCAAGGAGAATTCCAATCTTACTGGATATACGAATAATAAGATCCCTAAACACGGAAATATTTCCGCGACTCTGAGACCCTTTGCTATTATTTATGGTGCTATTTATTTTTTTTCTTTGCGAATATTTATGGTGCTATTTAGACACTGTTCAAACACGGCTACTATCCCATTTTATACACTTTTACTGTCACTGTTTTTGATTCACTATTTGACCGCTGTTTCCTGCAGTATCTACCGTTCATGCACGTCGTGTGAACGCATTTTTCATCCACGCGCGTGGCAGAGCGCGCATGCCATGCTAGTAAACTTTACGTGCGAGCGAGTCACGAGGATTCCAACCAGTCCTCGACAAGTTATTTTTTCTCAGATGCAATTAGCCCGAAGTATGACTATTGCCAGTTCTTGCTAAAACATAGTGCCATGTCAAAAATGAAATAAAACATATACATGATAGTTCAAATTTCGCCAACCAGAATGAAGCATACAAGTGCTTAACCATTTCCCCCCCTGAAATGTTCTGCAGTGGTGATTTTGACTCCGTATGCTCACTTTTGGCAACGCGGTATTCTGTCAATGATCTCAATCTAACCATCACGACAAAGTGGCACCCTTGGTACACCCCTGACAGTGAGGTAATTAAAGGAGGTTTATAATAGAAAAGAAAATGTTTCGATTCAGATGTAATGTGGGATTTTTTTTTCATGTGGGATGGCAATGGACGCAGGTGGGAGGCTATATTCAGCAATACCAAAGAGGCTTTACGTTTGCGTCAGTGAGGGCAGCTGGCCATTTGGTCCCTACTTTGCAGCCAAAGAGATCACTTGTTCTGCTCTACGCTTTCTTGAAGAACATTCTCCCTCCTGCTGATCCCAAATACAGGCCCCCTACTGGCCTGCTGACCCCAAACTGAAGAACTGAGCATTCACATTTCCATTCTAGTTCCGTTTGGGATGATGATCAGGTCCTTTTCTTTCTTTACTTCCTTATTACAATGTCTCGTTGCGTATATGCAACCTTAAAAAACGAGTTAGTAGTACATTGAGCTCATGATCTTGTGGCTTAAACAACGACATTTGCTTGCTGAGAAGCTTTGTAATGGGTGCCCGTTGGTGTTCATCTCAAAATGAATAAAGAGAATTTCACAGCCTTCCTTTTGCAGGATCATTATCTAAGAATCACAGTTGTTGCATTTTTTGCCTAAAGTTTGTGGTGAGTAAGTTGAATTGTAAAAAAGTAACTTTTGGTGGAAGTTGACTCCACAATGTTGTACCCCATCGCCTGAGATTCGGATTCGGACTACTTAGCCCATAACTGTAATGCTACATATGCATTACCTCTCTTTTTTTTTTTCTAATAACTTCCTCGCTTCAGCTGAAATATTATATAAAGGTGCTGGATATTCTGCCTTCAATAATAGAGATCACTGTATAATACATAAATGTGTGACTAATTGTCTCATCAAATGATTTGTCTATATAAATTTGCACATGTTGTTTTAAAAAAATCAAATGCGCATATCTCCAGAATATGTTCAGATAAGGACAATGATAAAACACAAAACTGTTCAGGACTTAGTGTGCGAATCTTTTGATATGGATCTGAAGTTTGTTATATTACCAATTAGTTTATGGTTCAATGGTTATGGAGTACGCTCATATGATGACCGTCGTCTTCTCGGGAAAGTTAGGACTAATCGGACTACTCGTGTTTTATTTTCAAGTGGGGACTATTCCTGCTCAAGAATTGCACTATACATCAAACTGGAACCATCTGGGACACTGTTCTAACAAAAATAATGACAATCAAGAATAGATAACCGTGGATAAATTTATAAGGAACTAGTACTACTTGCCAAAAAAATGTTTTGTTCTTAATTGTATGCTTCGTTGAGCTTGTGAGGAACTCGACAAGGTTCAGCCGCCGAATGCTGTAGTTAATTCAGCATGGGCAGATGAAATCTTCTCCAGATCTAAGAAATGTTAATGATCAAATTTTTATGCTCAATACTTTCAAACATTCCCGGTATTATATCCCGGACGGCCGGACCTATATAAACAGCTGCCAGATCTTGGTTATCTTTGCAACCACTAAGCTTTGTCAGTTGATAATCCTCAGAAAAATATGAGGGACACCTTCGTCTGCCTCTTTTTTCTTCTCGTCTGCTTGGCGGGATCGCACGCAAATTCGTCACAGGCACAGGAGGCTCGGCTAAGAGAATTTATCCTGTCCAGAAGGAGCAGTGGCAGTGCGTTCAGTGTACATGACGAGCCGGCCTTCACGGCCACTAGCAGCCTCAAATCAGAGTACTCTGGTACTGACCAGAACGCTCAGAAGGCGGCCGACAAGATTACAACGCTGCCCGGCCAGCCGGCCGGCGGCGTCGGCTTCAACCAGTACAGCGGGTACGTTACTGTCGACGAGAAGAACGGCCGTGCGCTCTTCTACTACTTCGTGGAAGCGATGCACGATGCCGCGGTAAAGCCATTGCTCCTGTGACTTAACGGAGGTTAGGGCGGCGATAGCCGGGCTGCTGGCACATGTCTTTTCTGAAATTTGCATTAGACAAGAACAGCAAGAACACTAGCTAGCTCATGTTGACGCCTGCTTTGTTTGGTAGTTTCTGAATCTTGATGTGATACAGGCCCTGGTTGCTCATCAGTAGGCTACGGAGCAATGATAGAAATTGGCCCGTTCCGCATAAACAGCGACAACAAAACCCTGAGCCGAAACGAGAACGCCTGGAACAGCGGTGAGACTACAACATCAGTGCCAGTGTTCTTGTTTATTTCCGATTGGGTCTAGTAAAACTGTAAAACTTTGACACGGTTTATTAAGTAGGAGTAACTCTTGTTCCATTGTGAAAATTTGCGGAGGCCAACGTCCTCTTCCTGGAGTCACCTGCCGGTGTTGGATTCTCCTACTCCAACACATCTTCAGACTATGATAAGAGCGGTGATCAAAGGACCGCGGAGGATGCATTCGTTTTCCTGATCAATTGGATCGAGAGGTTCCCTGAGTACAAAGCACGCGCCTTTTACATCTCCGGGGAGAGCTATGCCGGACACTACGTTCCGCAGCTCGCAACAGCCATCCTTGGTCACAATATAAAGAGTAAAAGCAATATCATAAATCTTCAGGCTATATTGGTGAGTGGAGACTGAAGACTCATCAATGATTAGTGAATATCATGATAGACATATTTCATTGCAACAGCTGAGGCATCTCAAAACAAAATTTTAGGTTGGCAATCCGTACCTGGACGATAACAAGAACACAAAGGGGCAAATTGACTACTTGTGGAGCCATGGGGTGATATCAGATGAGGTGTGGGCAAACATTACAAAGAACTGCAAATTCAGTCCTGCGGACGGTAACACGTGCTCTGATGCTATGGCATCATATGATTCTGGATACATTAGTGGATACAACATATATGCTCCTGTTTGCATCGACGAACCCAATGGAAACTACTACCCCAGCAGCAATGTAAGAGCATTTCTTTCTCTTTTTTGTCTGTTGCTGATGAGATGCTATTTATAGCTTGTTTGGTTTATTTATTAAATCTAAAGTCACTTTCTGTGGCCACTTTACATGTATATTAACTTTCTGGAAAGTATTTCTTTTCTTTTTTCAAGATTGTGAACCGTATTTCTGTTCTAACTACTTGTAAAGGTTCCGGGAATCGATCCGTGCAGCAACTACTATATCCAGGCTTACATGAACAATCCCTTGGTGCAGAAGGCTTTCCATGCTAGAACGACGAAGTGGTCAGTCTGCACGTAAGATTGCTTAAATGGGAGCAAAACATTCAAACAAGAAATTAAACTCTTTCCGCCTATTACTACCAATTCTTCTTAACTGATGTTCCCTGTTCAAAGACTTGCACTGGAAAGATGCTCCAGTGTCCATGATACCGACCATCAAATGTCTTCTGGGACATGGGCTACCGGTGTGGCTATACAGGTAGCTTGAACGTCACATTTCTTTATTAATTAACGTCTAACACCCGCAAACTGCAATTGGAGATGTAACGAAGGGAATACGATTTTCAGTGGAGACTTCGATGCCGTCTGCCCACTCACCGCCACAAGGTACTCCATCACTGACCTCGAGCTGTCAGTCATGGAGCCATGGCGCCCGTGGACAGCAACCAAAGAGGTAAATAACACCCCAAATCCTGTCCTAGAGTTGTTTCTATCATTTTTTTATTCAAACTTTGACAAACTTGTGTGGATCCTACCAGGTTGGAGGCTATGTTCAGCAGTACACGGGAGGCCTTGTGCTTATTTCAGTGAGGGGAGCTGGTCATCAAGTTCCTTATTTCCAGCCTGAGAGAGCACTAGTACTGCTCAGATCCTTCTTGAAAGGAACGCTCCCACCTTATGTAGTGGAGCAGTAAATTTTTGTTAAGTAACCCTGTAAGAAGCTCCTAGTGTTGATCCCTGTTGTTTGACATTAGTTTCAGAACTGTCATTAAGTGATAAAAATGACAATCTATGATGAAAGGACTGTGCCAGTATATATAGACAGAGCGCGCGCCGGGGGGGGGCTGGGGCTGGTTGAAGCTAAACACATATTAATAAAATCTACACAATTGCTGTCTACATGTGCATAGTTTCCTATGTTTTGCTGCTATCACTGCAAGAAATTTAAGATCTATGATGACATGTTTACGTCATAAATCCTGAAAATTTCATCATACTAACGAAATTTATGACTTCGTTATATATCATGTGTGTTAAACCATGTTTTATGATGAAAACACATTTTTCGTTATAGATTCTATGATGATCTTAGTGCGTGAATAATTTATGACGTTTGATCTTCATCCCAATTTTTGATTAAAAAAATTACTAAAATTTTGAGGTTTTGTTAGCCCATCTACTGAGCAAGCTGTTAGTGGGAAAAATGTACTTGTGCACCCAGTTTATTATGGGCCATATTGTTCAATCACAATTGTTACATGTTATATTCAACCCATTTGTATTTATCAATTTTTTTCTCATATTTTAATTGGGCCCACACAGCGGGACATCCTGTTCATGGGCTAACCCCAATTGCCGGACCTATTTGTATTTTATCCATTCTCATCATTAAATGCAGACCATTATGACAACTTGTATAGAATAGAGATTAGCTTAGCCCATTTAACAACACAGAGGCCCAAATCAATATACTGAATCAATCGGCTCAAATACATCATTTCTATATCCACATGTATTTCACTAATCAACAAACCTAAAGTAACAACAAATAGATGATTCTATTAACACCACTTCCTGTGATCAAATAAATGCAACAATCATCCATCATTTTGAGCACATGAACCAACACATCACTATGGGTATAATCATCCATCTATTGGACTACCTGAAATTAGGACCCAAAACACCATCAGAAGCTACATAAGTAACTAATGGAAGATGGAATGATAGAATGGTTATTGGTTAATCAACAAGCTAATCAATGAGCAAGCAATAGCTTATGCAAACACATATAAACACATTTAAAATTGATGTTAACTTAAGGCTTCAAGCTAAACTATTTTGAAATGCAAGAAAACATTTCAAAGTTAATTATGCAATATAAGATAAATGAAGTATAATTGCAATCAATATAATCGGTAAATCCTACTACAACTGCCTATTGAAATCAAACTACCAAACTGTAATGAGAAAAGCCCAAATTCTTCTATCACTAAAGATTAAAGAGCGATAACTTGTTGGACTTTCAAATTGTAATGACAAATCCATATTCATTTTAATTTTGTTTGTTTACTACAATATATGTAGGCTTGAGGTAGTATCGGTGAGATTGTCTCTTGCAAGACAATACAAAACAACATAGCTCATTTGTAGCCAAGGAATATGTAGAATTCAACATTTAAACGTGGCATTCAAGATTAAACAATAAGGATACTCTAGACCACTATTATTGTTAAATAAACTATTTGCATGAGTACATGCAGAATTAACTTCATCACAACAATAAAGAACTAAATCTATGCTCCTAAAAACTAGTTTTTGCACTGCAACCATTGCATTACAAAAAATGGCTGCCTCATGCACTCAAACTAATTCAAGACCAAAAAATTATACACTGTAGGAACAAAATAGAGGCTCGCTGAGGGGTGGGGTTACATTAGGACAAATCATGAGTAATAATGAACTCACTTGAGCTAGTTAAAGATATTATTCCTTTTGCATCAATCATGAGCACCTTATTCGTACTTGCAACATGCCACCTATGGGGTGATAAGCCTAATAACATGTTGTGACCGAATCATTCCACATATTAGTACATTTTGGAATGAGGTGTAACTAAGGTGAAGCCTAGTACTCCTGTCATTACATCCATTCATTGGGAACCCTAGCTAAGCTTGTGAAAGGTTAAAAGAATGAATGGACCCTTACCCAAGATCAAGGGTATGTGGGTTCTCTCTTGCGCTTCATGTGGGAACGGTGGTACACCCATGTAGAGTCTCGAATCTAGAATTGCCACACTTTCAACCATGAGCACTCTCTTTGCACTTGGATTCACTATAGGGTCATGTATGATGGCTTTGTGGGAAATCAAGCTAAGACATATTACTCTTTATTTGCTTACTTAATTTTTTTCTTTAGTATCTCAAGCATTGCTTGTTTACTTATCATTTTTTCCTCGAAACATTATTATTATGCACTTACGCAAGTCTATTTACCTATGTTGTTTAGCCATGAATCCACCACATACATGGTATTATGGACAAACCCTGCAAATACTCTTATACTCACGATGTTGTTGATAGTTGTTTTGTAGGTTGTCAGAGTTCATATTGGCCGCCCAAGTACACTCAAGTGCGGTTAGAGACATTGCGGAGTATGACATCCAAAGAATGACCACTAAACTCAGTAACAACTATGCGAGCTTTGAACCCTAGAACATAGTGCGGTAGTACCCATTATGGTCTATGTTGCAACTTTTTCTAATATAAAACCTATTGAGTGTTGTGCTCTGACTTGTGGTGGCCACATGTATAGTATACAATCTATGATTCCTTTGTATTTTGTTTGCGATGTGTATGACGCAAATCTCAGATATTACAAGGTAGTTTAGCTTCAACTGAGTTGATTGAGAGGACAATACTTGGTTTCTGTTAAACAATTTGTGCCAGTCCTCACACTATATAAGAACATGCCAAAAAAATTGGACAAAGATTAATGTCAAATCAAGTGCATAGGAAAATCCAAACACACGATGATCTGGTGCAATATTTGAATTCGAAGACCAAAAAGTTCGGTGCCAAAATTGCAGACACTAAGTATTGCATTGGACTATTGAACAATAGTAATGAAGATGCATCTAATGGCTATGTGCGGCAGAAATCCATGCACTGGATGATTTGTTGTCATCACAAGGGTATCACTAGGTGATCTAGCCATTAGGTAATTGGTAATTTTGGCAATTGAGCCTATTTATAACACCCACCCACCCCCTATTACTTTAATTTGGGATTGATGGAGTTATTGAAGACAACTGGCAAGGTTAGACACTTGAACGAACTTCCAAGCCACCAAAGTGCTTAGTTGACCATCCTACACTATCAACACAAGTGTTAGGTGTGATTAGTGTTTTGTACCAAGAGAAGAGTGAGAGCTCAAATTCGTACTAGTTCAAGGCGTGAGCCAAAGCTTGGAATCTTTGCATTGTCTTTCTAACACTTGGGGCCTTGGTGGATCAGGGTGATGTTTGTTGACCCTCTGGCTTAATGTGGGGTGGCGAATATATATTGTTCGGGTGACAAGAGACCCTTTCCTTGTTGGAGAAATTCGATAGTGGAGACAACATAAGATGATTGGAAGAGAGGTTAAGATGGCAAGTGGCTTGGTAGGATCCTTTGTAGTAAGCCTAAGACCTTTACTAGAAGAGACTTGGTCTAATAGTATATTCTTGGTGGACCTCTAACGTAAACTAGGTGTGGCACTTTGCCTATCGATACCACTAGATAAATCTATATGCCGAGTGTTGGACCTCTCGTGAATGCTTATTGCATTTACATTGTTGTACCTGTCATGAGTTATTCTGTGTTCATTGCAATCCTAGAGTATAGCTTAGTAGAGTAGGAGATAGTGTTCAGATTGCAATACCCTTTGTGGTATGAATGGCTTGCATGTGGAACCATGTGACATGATGACAAAAGACTTGCTCAATAAGATTTGAAAGGTTTCCTCTGGTTGGACCTCTACTTAGTTTCATCTAAGCTTCATCCTGATCATGAACATATTACTCAGGTTCAAGTCCATAAGCAGTGTCAATTGCTCTACGACTACAAAGACTGGCTTTCACTATGGCTCTGGTGGGTTCCATTACCTTAATCAAGCCACTTATGAGTCACCAACTCATTCTTCAACCAGGAGTTCAGCATGGTTTCACTTTCTATTTCACTATCCAATGGGGGTTCTTGGAACACTCCTCGACCATTTCCCTTGTGTATATATCACATGATTTTGGAAAATAATCATGACAAAATTCCATTTTCATTACATATGATATTCCCAACCAACAAAAATAAATATGGTAAAATAGATCCTTGGCAAATATTCCCACGCCGTGGCCTCCGCTGCAAGAGTACTATGTTACCAACTGTGAAAAAAAATTGTGAAAGGTAATCTGTTCACGACGGGCACTTTTTAGTAATGTGATTTTCTTGTAGAAATAATTTTGTGAACATTTCCATGGCTAAGACTATTTAAAAATGGACAATAGAGGATAAAAAGTATGTATAAATGGCAAATGTCCAAATGGCCAAATCTCACCTCATACGGCCAGCTGGCAGGAAAACATACAATCTATCGCCTCTTGCAGGTTTTGCCAATAGTTAGCTTCCAAAACATCATTTGAAATTTCAAAGGAAACATAATTAAACCAATGGAAACACCGAGCTTAATGAGCAACCATCGTTGCCTACCAAATACTAATAGCTAGCATATCTATCCGAAAATTGGCGGCACCCTACCAAGCTGCACATTGATTCGAAAAGAGTTAGATGCACGAGAGGTCCATAAACTTACATGAATGTTTGGATTCGGTCCATCAACTACAAAAGTGGAGTTCTAGGTCCATAAACTTTTAAAGTTGTACACTATAGGTCCATACACCTCCACATATGCATCTTATGCTGATGTGGCGTGCCACGTGTGCGCCTTCTCTCTCATGTCTCTCCCTTTTTTTCTCTCTCCCTCAGCTCTCTTCCATATTTCATCAAGCAGGTCTTGAGCGACGTAGAGCTTGCGGTATGAAGGGACCCTGACGCCTAAGAGGGGGGGGGGTGAATTAGACGACTTAAAAAACTAACTCTAAACTATGGCCTCTTTTTCTAACCTTAGCAAAACCTATGCAAAAGATAAACTATTTAAATGT